TGATAAAATGAAACAAAACAAAGACAGATAGGGTTTCCTTTAAACTGCATGCATTTACACAAGCCAAATTAATAATGGGTCAGAAACTGCTCTGCAGGCTTGAACAATGACTTGGTAGATCTAAATGTCTCAAACCTTGACAAATGGCTAGGTCTTTCTAAGTGTCTTTACCTTTCCAAGTCAAAGCAAAAGACACAAAGGATCCCTTTATTCTAGTCATCACACAGTATTTTAAATTCAACAAGTTTGTCAAGTTACAGGGAGTAAGGATTGCCCAGTGCAGTGGCTCACATCAGTAAGTCAAGCTACTTGGAATGAGAGACGGTGGTAGTGGTGGTGGTGGTGAATCACTGTTCAGGGCCAGCCTGGGCAAAAAGTTAGCAATTCAACCAGTAAGTCAGGGATGGTGGTTTGCATCTGTTACCCCATCTGGGAGGTGTAGACAGGAGGATTGCAGTACAGGTTCACCTCAGCAAAAATTCTAGACCCCATCTGAAAAATAACTAAAGCAAGAAAGGCTGGCTCAAGTGGTATGGCTCAAGTGGTAAAGGTGCCTACATTGCAAGAATGAGGCCCTGAATTCAAACCCCTGTAATACAAAGAAAGAAAGAAAGGCAGGGAAAAATATGTTTATTTAGCTAAAAATTTCCTTTATTTATTTATTTTGAGACAAGGTCTCACTATGTAGCTTAGGCTGGCCTTGAACCTGTGATGGAAATGACACTACATGACTTCCTAAGCCAGGATAATAAAGCTATTTAACAAAGATGATGTTTTAGTGTACATAAGATGTATACTTTGAGTAATGGTCAAATCACAGTGATTAGCATATGTATCACCTCAAACTTTTATCATTCCTTTCTGTGAGTACATTCAAAATCTGTTTTTGTTTTTCCCAGTACTGGGATTTGAACTCAGGGCCTACACCTTGAGTCACTTCACCAGCCAGCCTGTTTTTTTTTTTTCTTTTGTGATGGTTTTTCTCAAGATAGGGTCTCTTAAACTATTTGCCCTGGCTGGCTTCTAACCGTGATCCTCCTGATTTCTGCCTTCTGAGTAGCTAGGATTACAGGCGTGAGCTGTCTGCACCAGATCAAAATCCTGTATTTTGAGATATACAGTGCATTATTGTTAAGTATATTTACCCTATCATGCCACAGAATTGATTTTTCTTCCCATTTACCTGTAACACTGTACATGTTAAACAATCTCTATATGTCCCTCTTCTCCTTTACTCTCCCATCTTTAGTAACTACTCTTCTATTCTCAACTTCCACTAGATCAACTTTTAAAGATTCAGCATATGCATGAGATCATGTGGTGTTGATCTTTCTGGAGATGCACAATTTCAAAGAATATATCTAGGACTGGGCATGGTGGTACACACCTATAATGCCAGCATTCAGGAGGCTGAGGAAGGAAGATTGTTTCATACCTTGTCTCAAAAAAAAAAATCTATTTCTTTCCTTTCCTTTTGCTTTTTTATTTTTCTTTTTGGTAGTACTAGAGTTTGAACTCAGGGTCTCATTCTTGCTAGGCAGATACTCGACCATTTGAGTCATACCCCAGGCTGAACAAATCCATTATGTATCTCGCAGAATCCCAAGGATCAATTCAAAATGTCTAAACTCTAAATTAAACTTGTCAGCTCCCTCTTCTGCTCACCAGTCCTTCATTTCCCTATAAGCTCTTAGTTTCCTAATCAAGGTTTGCCACCACCATGACCAAAATAGAAATCTCAATATTATTTTTGTTCCCTTTTTATTTCCACTACCATCCAGTCAATGAGTTAGTCCTGTTAATCCTACCTTACTCCACCCCATTTTTGTGCCATTTTATTTTAACCGGGGTTACTAATTAATCTGTTTTGATCTTGCATCCCTCCAGTCCATTCTCCACACCACACTTAGAATGACCTTTCTCCCATTCAAGTTTTAACCAGGCCCAGCACTGCTTAGCTTCTGAGATTGGGCCTGTTCAGGGTGGTATGGCCATAGACTAGAATGACCTTCCTAAAGCACAAATCTGATCATTGTTATTCCCGTTTAAAATTCTGGTTCCAGATTTTTAGGATAAACATCCAAACTCCTTTGTGGCATTTAAGGCCTTCACATGCCTCAGGTATTGTGTTTCCTTTCCCTTGCATACTTCAGGCATGTTGAACTATTGCACTTTTCTAGGCTTGTCAAAGTCTCTCCCTTAATTCTGAGCTATTATATATGTTGTTCCCATATTACTGGCGTGTTCCCTACACTCTCTCCTTTACTTATCTAATTCCTACTCATCCCCAAGTATTTCTCTGCCTAACTAAGCTACATGGCCTCATTGTACCTATACTTTACACTCAAACCTACTACAAGAGAGAAAAGACTTTGCGTCACAGATTCAAAACACTTGAGACTGCACGACAAGTTTATCCTTAAGGTACATCATTCAACTACCTCTTCTTATTGTGAGTAAGTTTTTGTTTGGTTTTGCAGTGCTGAGGACCAAACCCAGGCCTCATGCACACTAGGCAAGTAGTCTACCACTCAGTCACGCAAGTTTTATGATTCTAAATGGTTACCATTCAAGTGTTGCTTGCCATTTAATGTTGGCTTTAAAGAGTAAATACACTGGTTCTGTTGATTTAAGTACAATGGACATGAAAATTTAATTTACAAATTAATGACATTTCAGTCTGAAAAGAACTTACTTTCAACACGCTGACAAAATTTCAAGTTTTGAGTCTGCAAAGCAAAGACTCAGAGCCTGTACCACAATGAATTTGCCAATATAAGCTTCCCTAGTGAACCTCCTCTTCTTTTTCTCTTCCGCCTCCCCACCCCTGCCTCCTTGAGTGTCCAAGTTCTGTGGCTATTAATGTAAAATATGTTCAGTAACCCTGGTTATACATTTATACATGTGTGTCTCTAGATATACCAGCTGCTCCTGTGTGGCAGAGAAGGTATACATGGTTGGGTTCAACCAGGGTTGGTAGCTGGTATATGAAAACAATGGCGGTCCAATAAACAAGTCAAGCACATTCACAAGTGTGAACTATAAAGTTAGATCATGGACTTAAGTTTTTTTCTTTCTTTCTTTCTTTTTTTTTTTTTGAGACAGGGTCTCAAATGCAGCCCAGATATCCTCGAACCCCAAATCCTCCTGTACCAGCCTCAGGAGTGCTGGGATTATAGATGTGTCACATCACACCTGATTTTAAGCTGGGTTTTGATGGAAATAAATAGGCTACAGAAATGATAGTTGGGAAGTAAGAGCGGCCAGTGGAGTGGAGGTCTTGATAAGGGTCAAAAAAGTGATGATTTTGGGAATGTTAATGCAAGAGAAGTGTATGGATAGGAATTAGTGGTCGCACAGGCTGAGCAGAACTGCTATGTGTGGGATCAGTGAAGGGTATTCTTACATGATTATGCGTCAACCGCTGCTTATTTCCTTTTGGAGTAATTACGTTCTCCAGTGTATTATTCTAGCGATACAAGGGAGTACAAGGTTTTTTGAACAACCTATCTAGATAAGCAGATGTGAGCTAATTAGTCAAACGAATCTACCTAAGAATTCCAGGAATAAAGGACACAGTATATGCCACTAATTAGCAGTTTTAAACTAACTTTTGAAAAACAAACACAAGTTATTTTTATCACCTTAAGTCACTGAGAATGTTTTCCATATTGTCTGAACATAAAGCCCCCCTGTGTCTAGGAAGATGGAAAAATGTGTGCTTTGAAATAATGAATTTAGTTGTAATCATGACTGTCTGATGTACTACAGAGACCCACAGTATAAAACAGTCTGTTTGGCATAGGACACATATTAACACTTTACCAAAATACTTTCATATTAACTCATTTGAAAATAATACTTACCTGCAGTTTCTTAAAATACCTGGAAGTACTTCCCAATCATCTTTCCACTCATTGCTCGGTAGATTTCAAGTTTGTGTCCCTTTTCCCCCTACTTAAGCATTATTAAAGGCTTCTTTTTTTTCTGCCAGGGTGAAAGTTGAGCTCCTTGGCTTGTGAATATTGGCAGAACTGCAGGTCATAGGAACTTTACTTTCAAGATCAAATAATGACACTGTGCCTGAAGGTCAGTCCACATCTTGCTTTGGCACCATGTTCATTTGTGACCTTATTTTTTCTTAATTTGTAAAATACAAACATTAATGACGACATACTTCATGTACCTATTATACTAATAGTATTTAAAATTCCTTAGAAGGGGCTAAGGGCTTTAGAAAGTGCAACATGTTAAACGACACCAGCCCATTAGATACTACTACGGTCCATAAAAGACAACCCAAACTTCTTTTGCTAATTCAAACTGCAGCCTCTTCCCATCCCTTTCTTTTCTGATTCTTTACCGCTGCCCTGGCTGCAATTAGATGCCAGAAGGGAGCGGGGGGAAGAGCAGAGGGAAGCCCACCGGGCCGTCTACGGAAGTCTGCGTTTCTCTTGTCTGCCTGGACCCAGGGGCTGAGCCATCGAGTCAGCATTTCCAGCAGAAATGAGGATCCAGCTCAAGCTCCCTGCCATTTCCAAGCCAGGAGCAGGCACAGCAAGGGGCGCCCTGGTTTTGCGGCATAGTCTGAGGCGCAGTTGAAGGAACCTCGCGAGTACCCCTTTCTCCCGCCTCGGAAAGGGACACTCCCAGGCGGGACTCTAAGGGTCTCCACCCAGCCCCTTGGCGTGGACGCTGTCGGGGAGTGGGCGCGGCTCTCTGACGGAGCACGGGTGTGCGACTCGCTGCCCTAGCGTTCTCTGGCCCGCCGGAAGGAGCCGCGGCGCCAGCGTCCTGCCGCCTGTCCGTCACGCAGCCGCCCCCGCTGCCTCCACTTACGATTGGTCGCAAACCCCCTTTACAGCCCCTCCCCCTGGCAGACGGACAGGCCGGGGGGCGGGGCGGCAGCGGGCCCCGCCCCTCGGCGGCCACATCGCGGGCCCGCCCAGCTGTCAGTTACGGGGGCGGCCCGGCGGGCGGGCGCTCGCTCGCTCTCTCGCGTTCGCTCCCTCTCGCCGCCTGTGGGGAAGTCGGGGCAGCCTGAGCGGCCGCCGTAACCGCCACCTCGCCCCGACCTCCTCCCTTGTGCCCTCCCGCCCCCGGCTAGAGAGTAGCCCGCGTAGGGTTCGGAGAGTCACCGCGGCGGCGCCGGGTGGTGTTTAAACCATGTTAAGGAGGATTTTGCAGAGGGTAAGAGAGGGAAACCGTCTTTCCGGCAGCACGTGAGCGGGCGAACCCGAGCCCGCGGGGCCCTGGGAGCTGCGGCGGCGGCGGCGCGGGCGCCACCTCCTCCGCGCGGCTCCTTCCTTCTCTAGGCCCCGCAGCCCGCAGGCGCTTGGGCCTGGCGGTCCGGCTCGCGGGCGGGGGGCGGGCTGCGGGCCGGGCGGGGCGCAGCGCAACGCAACGCAGGCGGAAGCCCCGCGGCCCGGGGGACTGTCACCGCGAGGCGAGCCGGCTGCCAGCCCGAGGGTGTGGTGCCCGCGCGTCCTTCCCGGAATCCCGGGATGGGAATGAAAATGGAGAGTTAGTCCCGATGGGATGGCCGGGCTGGAGAACGTCCCGAGGGAGATGGCGGGCAGCCTAGTTGGCTTGTCACCTGCCCTTCCTGCCCACTGTGTCCCCCCAACTTGACATGACACCGCACCTGCCACGCGCCGCCTCGCCTTCTCTCATCTGGACCACATCGAAGGGTAATAGGAGACCCGGCCTAGCGTGGGCCCAGTTGTGGGACTGACACTGGCAAAGTCAGCTGAGAAAGAAGATATTACTCACTGTTGCAAACTTATCCTTTTAATTAAAAATGCATTTCCCCTCTCCAAGCCCCAGTGCCTTATTTTTAGCTATCCAAGAATAAATCCACAGTAAGCTTTATCAAGTGGTGTCCACCTCGTTTGGTGTCTGCCGGTGCTGTCTCTATTTGAAATCTGGAAAACCTTGAAAATATAAAGATTAGAGAGCACTGGAAAAGCTGTGTGCATTGTTTAGGGGTCACTATCTAGTATAACATAATTGAAATCTTTCCTGTAAGAGTTACCATATTTGAGTTTTTGTTTTGGATACCATTTTTTTTTTTTTTTTTGGATACTGGTATAGGGTGTAACAAAATGTAAGTGATTGTAAGTAGGTGCTAAATCCACCTACTGAGCAGGATAAGTAGTTCAAAGGACATAAGAACTTAGTGAATTTGTGGTATGGAGTCAAGGCTTGTGCCAAAGGGTTGAGTCATCCAGTGTGTAGGAAAGGAGTGTCCTTGCTTCTGCATAGCTTTCACGAACTGTTGAAATCATATGAAACTTGGTTATAGATCAGGGGAAATGAGTTAACTTTTGTCTCTAACCCTCTGTATTGACATTTGGTTATCTTTTGTCTGTTTTGAAATCTTGATCAGCAGTGGTTTAGCAGTAACATGGGCATGGTCTTTACTCTAAATATCAGTTTTTCTTTGTTCAACAGTGAAGACATCTGGTGCATGATTTACTCAGAACCTTTAAGAAATTTTTCTTTTATCAGACCTGGAGGAACTGATTAACTCAATTTGTTTGCCTATGGTTTGCTTTAAAGTTTATAGAGTGTTTTCTGATTTTGAGTGTAGCTTCTAAGAGTTATGATTAGTTTTTGAGAAATATGAGCTGCTTTCTGGTACTCTTGGTTTAATGTTGGTAAGCAGTGAGGTTAGATAAAGAGCATTTCTAATGTTGGTGCATACACATCAATGTTAACGAAATTTCTGCCTGGCCTTGGGTGGCTCCTGCCTGTAATCCTAGCTACCTGGGGGGTGGGGGTGCTGAGATCAGGAGGATCGAAGTTCGAGGCCATCCTAGGCAAATAGTTCATGAGACTCCCATCTCCAAAATAACTAGAGCAATGGACTGGATGTATGGCTCAAGTGGTAGAGCCCCAGCTTTGCAAGAACACAACTCTGAATTCAATTTTTTTCCCCCAACGGAAGCCAGAAAATTGGAATTTATTGTGGTTATTGCTGAGATGTGATGTTGAATCATCCTCTTTGAATAAGTCAATTGAGAACTGAGTTTCCCCACCTTGGAACTATTGACATTTGTGAGTAGATATTTCCTTGTTGTTGAGGCTGCCTCGTGCATTATAGGATGCTTACTAGCATCTCTGGTGTCTATTCACTAGATGCTACTCATGTTCTTTCAAATGTCCTCACCCCCTGTGCGACAAGCAAAAGTATCCCCAGACTTTACCGAACGTCCTCTGGGAGTAAAATTGCGCCTGGTTGGGAAGTACTGTGTTAAATGTATGATCTCCTTGATAAAAGTTTGAAGTGTTTCTCACAGTGAACTAATTTTCTTTTGGTTAGTGACCTTATATTGAGTTACAGTAAATTTAATGCATTACGCTAGTAGCTGGGAAAGTTTAATAAGATACAGGTACTCCCTGTAGAACTCAGTCTGGTTGGGAAGGTGGACATTAAATCTTAATTACGCTGCTGTGTAGTAGAAGAGCAGAGTGCCCTGGGAACCACTTTGTGAGAGGTTCTTGGGGTAGTCAGGAAAAGTGTCAGGGAGGAGTTCAAGAGGGAAGGGTATATCAGGCAGAGGGAACAGTAAATGCAAAGACATGGAAATATAAAAGAAGAAAGTATTAGTAGGGGGAGGTTAACAAGTTTGGATTAACTGTATAGGTGGTATTTACTAACTTATAGAACTTGAATATTTGAGTTATGTAACGTGAAAACTATTTTATTTTACCCCACCTGACAATTTTATTTCTCAGCATGGATATTAAGATGTAAAATTAAAATACAGTTGCTGAGTTAGAGTTTTGCTTGAAATGGTCTCCATATTTTTGAATTATATTACATTTATTTAACATTCTGTTTTTAGATGAGCTTTCATTTTAACTGTTATAATTTTTTTCTTCATTGTGCCTTTAAATAACATTTTTGAAGGAAGGAAGGGACAGTGCTTTTATAATCAATTACAACTCTGAGTCTTTGATTATTACCAGTAAGATTCAGAGTATTTTATGGAAATTTGGTTTCTGCTTCTCCTCCTCGTCTTCCTCATCCTCCTTTTCCTTTCTTCCTAGACTTCCTCTTTCTCTTTCACTAGCTTACTAATGGAAAAATGTTACTCTCTCTTTTTTTTTTTTTTTTAAGTTTTTAAAATGCTCCCCTCCTCCCTTTATTGTTGTGCTGGGTGTGGTACATTGTGGCATGTACAGAGGTTCTTACAATGTATCAAATGTATCATACTTGGATTCACCCCTCCACTGCTCTCCTTCATCCCCCTCTCCCCCAGATGTTATTCTGAGTCTTGAAAAGGCCTAGAAAGAAACACAACCATGATGAGGTAGCTCCAATATGTATGTTTTGAACATTTTGCTTAATAGTTTTTTGAAGAAAAACTTGAATTTAAAGGGCTCAATGGTCAGAATGATGCTCACCATTTAAGTCCCGTTGGCAGTTTGTAGACTTCATGCTACTTCTTTCTTAACGAATTTAGTGTGATTTAACGGTAGTATCCTAGATTTCCTATTACTGATAAATATAAAAAATACTGCTAAAGAAAGAATGGATTTAATTATTCCAGAATTGTAGAAATGGAAAGACTTCTTTAATTCTCCCTCTTTCATTTTAAAAATGAGGAAGTAGAAACTGAGTGAGATTAAGTGATTTATCTAACAAACACAGCTAGTAGAGGTCAAAGACTACTAGAGACTAGAGCCAAAATTCCCAACTCTCAACTATTTCCCCTTTCTTGGCACCTTACTCCCTTTTACTCCCAGACTCAACTTTTGCTCTAAGGAACTTAAATGTTAAGTGCTAAAATAAATGATAGAGTAAATAAAGGCTGTAGTAGGTACAGGGGAAAGGGCAGTTCATTCTTGGAAAAAATTGGCGTGAGGTGGGGTTTTTGAAGACTGTGTATGATTGAGAGGAAAGGTTTTATGTTGTAAGGAGTTATGATATAAGCAAAGATTTAGAATTGGAAATGAGTTCATAACCCTCCTACTCACCCTTCTTCCTTAGCATAATGCCTTTTAACAAATACTTATAATACTTTTTCTGTGCTAGATATTGGGGATACAGCAGTGAATAGACACAATTTCTACTCTCAAGTTGTTTAAAACCAGTGGCTTTCATATATAGAAGTGCATTTAAAGCAAAAAGAAATTGAGGGAAATTTGCAAAGCGGTGTGGAACCTAACATGTAGAGTTGCTTGATTGTCTAGCTCAGCTTTGTCCAATACAAACATGAGTTACTTATGTAAGTTAAGATCACTAGTGAATTATATGTTAAAAAGTAAAAAGGAAGTAAAAATTAATTTTTGAAAATATTTCCTTTAACTCAATATATTTTAATATTTCTAAATGCAATCAATATAAAATTGAGATAGTATACATCCTTTTTATTCTCTTTGAAATGGCACGTCTCAGTTTGGACTAACCACATTTTAACTTGTTAGCAGCCTCATATGGCTAGGGGTACTGTGTTGAACAGTACAGGTTAGTTGAATGCCTGTATAGTATTAGTTTTTAACTTCTTACTTAGAACTAATTTCAAACTTACAAGAAGTTGCAAGAATAAGATAATTCAAAGAACATTTATATTCTTTACCCATATTCACCTATTGTTAACATTTTGCCTTTTTTGATTTATCACTTCTTACAACATTTCTTATTCTTATCCCTTCCTTCACCCTTGTTTTTCTCTCTTGGTATCTATTCAGTCGTATATACTGAGTCATTATGTCCCTTTGTTTATGAAATCAAGAATATCTGGGTGCTGGTGGCTCATGCCTATAATCCTAGCTGCTCAGAGGCAGAGATGAGGAGGATCAAGGTTCAAAACCAGCCAGCGCAAATAGTTCCTGAGACCTTATCTTGAAAAACCCACCACCAACAAGTGATAGTAGAGTGGCTCAAGGTGTAGGCCCTGAGTTTAAATCCTTGTACCGCAAAACAAACAAACAAAAAGCCAGGAATATAGTTAATTTCATAAATTTACATTGATTCAGTTCATTATCCATAATTCCAATTTTGTGGTTGATTTACTAATGTCTTTTGTAGCATTTCCCTGCCCCCCAGTACATGAACCAGTTAGATTTTATAGTTAGCTGATACTTACTAGACATTATATTTAGTTGTCCTGTCACTTTGGCATCTTTTACTGGAATATTTCCACACATTTGGTTATTTTTCATGACAGTTTTGAAGAATG